GCGTATATCAACCCAGAGGTTAAGATTTACCAAATGGTAAGTTAACCAAGCTTTCTGGAATACCCCCCAGGGGTAGGCAACCCTAGATTCACACTGGCACGCGGAGGAATTTCGGGTGGCACGCTGACGATGATCACAATAGAAACCTACCGCGGGACCCAACGCACCGAGTGCGGTGCGGGACAAGATTTGATGGGTGAATGCGGGTGCGGGCGGTAAGGTCCTCATGTATGTGCGGGTTGCGGGAGAATAGAATTAATCGCGGGACTCTCGCAAAATGGAATTATCTTAAAATTATTTTTTTTAAAACAAGTAGGCCTCTATTATTTATCTACTGCACAAAAGCAACAAGAACGACTAAATTAAAGGCTAACGCTCTGAAGCAGTATTAGGCTAAATGCTTTTCTGTTTGACCACTTGAGAAATCAACCTTTATTATTATTTTGTTTCATTTTAATATTATTAGCCTATTTCTATGTTCTGAAAAGCTTCTCGTTTGTGTCCATGTTCATCATTCTATTTAATTAAACTCAAATAAAACGAAACATATTTGTTTATTTTCCGTTTCTTTTTTATATACACTCAAAAGGGAAGCAAAGTGAAACAAATAACAGAGTAGCGGGAAGAAGTGGTAAAAATAAAACTACTTATATGTTTACCTGCGGGATTTTGCGGGCGGGAGCGGGACAAAACTTGAATACTGCGGGGGCGGAAGCTGGAGAAAATAATATATATTTTTTTGCGGGAGCGGGACAGAATCTTGCGGGAGCGGGCAGGAGCGGGGCTGAAAAAATTCTCTAGATCACAACCCTAATTATTAAACACATACAATTTTTCAGACGTCTTCTATGATGTTGAAATGTCATTGGCTGTTGCTTGGCGCGCCTGCTGCTTTGGTTTGACTACTCGATGGTAGCCCCCCCCCCCGTCGTTAACATGGCACGCAGACTAACAAGAAAATATATAATTGGCACTCCATGTCAAAAAGGTTGCCGACCCCTGTACTACACCATTTAGTTTGGGAAAAAAAACATGAATATTAAATAAAATGCAATAAGTTTGCTCCTATCAATTGGAGAACTCAAAATTACTATATACATTTGCAATCTTATTATGGTAGGACTGCACCACTTAGGTTGGGAAAATGTGGCTTAGTTTATTGTTAAAGGGATTTTATTGGCAATAAAATTCAATAACTTTCTTACTATCTACTGTAGTTCCACCAAAATCACTACACACATCTAGGGTATCATCATGGTCATACTACAACACTTAGTTTGGGGAAATTTACCTTAGTCTGTTTTTAATTTTTTTTTTTTTTATTAGGAATAACTTTCAATAACTTTGTGACAGTTAAGTGTAGTGTCACCAAAATCACTACACACTTCTACAGTCTCATTATGGTCGTACTACACCCCTTAATTTGGTGAAATGTACCTTAGTCTGTTTTTAATGATTTTTTATTAGGAATGACATTTAATAACTTTCTTACTATAAAGCAGGGGTCGGCAACCTTTTTGACATGGAGTGCCAATTATATATTTTCTTGTTAGTCCGCGTGCCATGTTACAGTTTTTCTCCATTGGTTTTGAGAATTACATTCTCAAAACTCTAAGATCATTTGGCAAAATACTCTTACAGTTTAGCACAATACTATAG